AAAATAATAATAATAATTACAAATATTTGCTTATATAAAAGAAAAAAGTATATTTGGAGATAATAATCTTTAGTATGAACCTATATATTTATATGATTAGGAAGGTTTATTGGCTTCTATTAAAATACATTCAAATCATGGACATACACTACAGACTGCCGAGACATTAAGATTTTTACCAGCTGACAATAATCTGAAGAGTACATTTATTGAATATTTTAATAATGGTTTGGGAATTATTGAATCATCTAAGTACCATGAAAATGTATTGTCCTTGAAACATGGTTTTAAGCAACAGGATTATGCCAATGGTTCACTGAATCCAACATATAGATGTGTACAAAATTGGTATGAAACATGGCGGCTCAATAATCTAGGTCCACGTAGTGGTTCTGGATTAATTGAAGTAAATATTTATTCTATTATATTTTCAACAATAATTAATATGTATTACAGTCAATGTATTGACATTTACATTGCTAATATACTATAATAGGTACCTAGATTAATAAATAAATATTAATTATATAATGTGTTATTATGTAGAAACTGATAGAAAAAAAAGTGTTATATGAAAAAGATGATATTATTGTTAATTTTAAACAAAATCCATTTGCTGTTGTTATACTGACTCCTATGATGAAAAGAGCACATCTACTAAAAACATCAAGTGATATTGTCTTTGTGGATAGTACATCAGCATGTGATCCAGAAAATCATACCATAACATTTGTATTAGCACCTTGTGCTGCAGGAGCTGTACCATTAGGCATTATAATCACTCAGGGTAATTATTAATTTAACTTCACATTGCATACACAAATGCAGTTTAAAATAAATTTAATAGTTATTGAAAAGGTAGTTAAATGAAATTTGTTAAAACATGCATATTATATGATATTGAAACAAATCAATTTCAATGTTTAAATAAATTGTAGAACAATTTATAATGATGAAATGTTTAATTTAATTCATTTTTAAACGCATTTTTTAGTATACAATATTAATTGTTTTTCATAGGTCAAAGTTATGATGCATATAATAACGGATTCAGTTTATTGAAAGAAGCTCTTCCGGAAAATAAAAGTTTTGGTTCTTGTGGATATCCTAAAATTTTTATGACTGATAATTCTTCTGCTGAAATTAAGGCTCTTCATAATAATTGGCCAAACAGTAGACATTTATTGTGCATATTTCATGTGCTTCAAGCAATTTGGCGTTGGTTATGGGAAGCAAAAAATAATATACCAAAAGAAAGCAGACAAATTTTGATGAAGAAATTCCAAATTACTTTATATGCTAATACTATTGAAAAAGCAGAACAAGCATATCTAGACACAAAAAATCCCAACTATGCAAATTGGAATAAATATATTAGCACATACTGGGAATTTCGATCAAAATGGTGTCTTGCGTGGAGGGATGCAACTGTCAATGGTCATCAAACAAATAACTTTTCTGAAATAACTGTTAGGATTTTCAAGGATATAGTTTTATCGAGAGTTAAGGCATATAATGCAATTGCATTAATTGATTTTGCTTGTACAGTTTTGGAAGAATATTACTGTCGCAGATTCAGAGAATTTGCAAACTCCAGAAATTGTAAAGCTAGACTTTTTCTTCAGTCACAATCAAAAAAAGCCAGTACAATTAAACCAGAAAATGTAATCCAAATTTCAGATATTGAATATAAAGTTGTAACTTCTGATGATAAGACTTATGACATAAATACAAGTGTAGGAATTTGCTCATGTGATAAGGGACAATTTGGATCATTTTGTGCTCACCAATGTGCTGTTTATTCATATTATGATGTTGTATCGAAAAATTTTCCTCCAGTCACACCAGAAGATAAACATACCATTTCGGTTCTTGCCCAAGGTGATAAATCTCTACCAATTTCATTCTTTGAATCTTTTTTACCAAATTCTTCTTCTGCACATTCCATTTCTAATAACTATACAGAGTCGAATATTGAAATCCAATCTGAAACTGTGAAAGAACTATTACCAGTAATAAAAAAAATGTGATGTACCAGAAACATCACAAACAGATGAAAGTGTATCAATGAAAAATATTATTTCTTTAATGACAAATTTAGATGAGAAATATAATTCTTCTACGTCAGGTCTAAAGATGATTGAATGTCGTTTAAAAAAAATTACATCAGAAGGAATGTGGGAATCATTTTTACACACTGCTGGAGGGGCATCTGTACCACTTCGTAGAAGATCTGGAACTACAATTAAAGTTCAACCTACCACAATTGCTAGGCGTTCATTAACATTAACAAGAGGTAGTAAACGTTTTCCAGTTGGGCGGCCAGCAAAACAGGAAAAATTAATAAATAAAAGAAAAAGAAATCTAGGACACAATATTAAAAATAACCTCCCAAATGCAAAGTCACATGGACGTGGACATTAACCCTACACTGCACGATTTTTTTTTCCTTCAAAAAAAAAAAAATGAGTTTTGTGTATACTTCACTAAACTAGGAAAAATAAAAAAAAAAA